CCTTTCAGCCCTGCCGGCTGCATCCCCTCAAGTGCCGTCTCTCGCTTGCGCAGCACAGCCTGCGCCGGCTCCCTGTGCCTTCCCCCTCGGCTGCTGCTGGGTGAGCTGTTGCCAAACCCTTCTTCTGCCTCTAACGCCACGCTGTGCCTTCCCCCAGCCTGCACTAGAGCTGCCGGTGCTTGGATGACGCAGTTTTGGATCTGTGGGAGCAGTGAGCACTGGGATCCCTCAGTGGGGCCATAGCTGCTCCAGCTGCAGAAGGTCCTGGAGCACTTTCTTTCCTTCGCTCGCTCTCACACCCTGCCCGTGGTGCTCCAGGTGCCCGTGGGGCTGCTGTCTCAGGTCATGTTGCTGCTGCGCTGTTGTGAAGCTGTTCCAGGCAGCCGTGTGCAGGCTGTCGCTGCTGGGGCCGGTGTGCCAGTAGTTTGTCACTGTATGGTCAGAATAAACTTTTTCACCGAGCCACCACATGAGCCACCACGTGCCTTTTGTCTCTGGAGAAGCACAGCAGGGCTCCTGCCCTCTCCCCCCTCCAAGGGCTGGGGGTGCCAGGCAGGGCAGTGTGGACCCAGTCAACTGCTGTAAACAGCACACTCATGCTTGTGGCTATTTTTAGGCCACCCTGCTGTTGCTCCATCTGAGCAGAGCTGCAATGCCAGCCCTGCACCGGCCCCAGCCCTGCAAGTGGCCCTCCAGCCCTGTGTCCACTGCCCAGACCAGCCTTTGCTGTCTCACAGGAAGCCTCTGCAGAAAGCTCTGGTAGAAAACACACACACACAGTTTCATTAAGTTATTTATTAACATGAAGCAGCAACAGCAGCACCTTCCTGGGCCCCAGGGAGAGAAGCCCAGGCCTGGCACTCGAGTGGTTGTGAGTACAACTGTGCTTGTCAGTAACACGTTGGGAGCAGGGGGAGTTCAGGAGACTCTTGGAGCCTTCCCAGGCGCAGGCACACAGTGAGCCCTGCACTCGCCTGCAGAGACCTGACCTGGCCAGTACCAAGACCTGCTGCTCGGAGCCTGTGGACACTGGCTTCCAGGGAAAAGCAATTTTGCAAGGACTAAGGAACAAAACCAACAACCTTCTAGAAGCTGAGTCAAGCAAAGGGCAAAGAGGATCATTCAGTCTGCTGAGAGCAGAGGAAGAATCAGCCTTGAGAATTTTGGAAGGCTCAGGAGGGAGGAAGAGACACCACTACAGTTGAGAACCAGAACCAGCCCCTCAGAGCAGAGCCCCTTTGCCAAGTAGCTATATCTTCAAAGGAACAGTCGCCCAAATCTTGGCAGATGTAATCCTGAGCCTTCAACCCCTCACAGGTAACACAGCACTGAGGTGGCAGCACAAAGCTCTGGCCTGAGCAAAACCACCCTGATTTTGGGGAGGAGACTCTTCCTGGGGTGAAGCCTAGCTCTTCCAAAGGACTCTCTTTCTGCTAGACTACTGCCAACCCTTTGCAGTTCAGTGCTTGGAAGAGCCTGCTCCAGGCTGAGTCAAGCCTTCCCCATCAACAAGAACTGACAAGGCAGTAACACAAGTGAGTGTGAACCTGCAGACAGCGATGCCAAGGGCCTGCCCAGCACTGCCAGCTGTGTCAGTCTAAAAGCTGTGTCACAGCTCTGTGACAAGGGACAAGTTATCTCAGGCTGTTAAAAAAAGAAGTAGGTATAGAATACTAATGACTGTACATTGTCTTGAGAAACATGGAATTTAGCAACAGTGCAGAGAGAAGGGCTGTGTTCACAGGTGAGATAAGCAGCACCAGTACCTGAGGCAGCACGGAGCACTGGGAGAGCTGGGCAGAGCGACGGGAGCCTGTGCCTGGCTCTCCTTGTGGCATCCGACAGCATGTGTGGCAGCAGCAGTAACTACACCTGTCTCTCTTCTTCTGTGTTCTGGGACAGAAGCTCCCTTTAGCCAGGCTCCAACTTCAGCTCCCCTGGCATTGGGCCTGGTGGATTTTCCACGACACGGCACTAGGTGTGGAGGCAGCACAGGATGGGCAGGAAGGGCTGAGGCACTGAACAGTTCATTAAAAGCTGAGGAAGGCAGACCCAGTGCTCGGGAGCTGCAGCACTGAGCTCCCTTCCCCTGCACCTCCCCATGCAGGAGCCCAGCAGTCAGGAAGTGAAGATTTTCCGACAGACAGGTGCCTCCAGCTGTCTCAGTCCCAGGGGCATGTTCTCCTTGTTCTCCAGCCCAGGCTGATTGGGATGCTTGCAGAAGTAGCAGGCTCGGCACACGGAGTGGTACTTGTCAGCTCCTCCAATCACTTCAACCTGGCAGGAAGATTGGGAGAGTGACTGCGCAGCACAGCTGCCCTGAGGAGGTCCTTCCGGAGTAGCAGGCCTGGCAAGGAGCAGCACTTTCCGTCCCAAGGGAACTCACCTCCCGCTCTACTCCCAACCTCTTGGTGTAGGAAGCCTCTCGGAAACACTCCATGCACACAGCGTTCAGCTTCACCACGCTCTCCGCCAGCGGCACCAGGTTCAGGATGTTCCCAAAGGCCTGTGTGAGACAGCAGGGAGGTGCTGCTGGGGGTGATCTCCGAGGGTCTCAAAGCAGTTGCTGTACCAAAATGAATGTTTTACCTTTCTCTGGAAAGTCCCATCCAGAGCAGCCACAATGACAGTTTTCCCAGTGTTGGCCATTGCCTCACAGAACTCCACGATGTCTGGGAACTAGAGCGGGTACAGGCACAGCATCAGGAGAGCAGCACTTGGCTCTGGATCCCCCAGCAGCACTGGGAACAATGAGCCATGTGGTCTATCTGTGCAATGGGCTCCAGCCCTGCTGTCCTCAGCCCAGGGGCGCTGCAGGAGTGAGCATTTGACTACAAGCACAGCCCAGCCAGATCCAACTGTCCCAGGGCATTTCTTCCCACCCGCACTGCCGGATTCAGACCTCGGTGTGCACAGGGTGTTCCGAGGAGCCTTTGTCCCACAGAGCCCCCAGATTTCCCCAGCCGTTCACTCACAAACTGGCCCTCATCGATGCCGATGACTGCAGCCCTCAGTGCCTCCTGGTACGGGACCGGCCCAGCGGGCAGAGCCGCCATGGTGCTCCTGCGGGCAAAGGGGGGTGAGCCGGGGCGGGGGGACAGGCAGCCGCGAGGGTTGGATGGGGAGAATGGGGATTCTCCTTCCCCGGGGACTCACTTGTCGTGCGTGGAGACCCCGGAGGTGCTGTATCGCGTGTCCTTGGCGTACTTCACCAGCA